GCGCTGAGGGCACCAGCCCTGGTCTGTGGCCTCTGCAGTCAGGAAGGGACGCCGGGCTATTCGAGGAGGATTGTCTGCAAAGACAGTGCAGGCCCGAGGGACAGGGCTGTGGCCAAGGACTGGGAGTATCGGCTGTTCCCACCGGGCCTGGGGGGTGAAAGGGCGGGTACAAGAACTGAAGTCCGGTTGCATGAAGGTGGTTTGATGGGAGCCTCCAGTCGAGGGGCCTCACAGGCGGTGAGCCAGCACCCTGCAGGACCTGGCCAGCCTGGTCTTTGAAGAGCCCGTCAGAGGGGTGGCGGGGTATGGGCATGAAGGGGAGGGAGCCACGCCACACACCCGAGACTGTCTAAATAAGTTCTCCGAGTGCCTTGGAGCAATGTGGGAGGCTTGGGGAAAGCCACCATTTCCTTTGGCACACGTCACCTCCCCTGTCATCTGACACACCTGGCTTCATCCTCCACCCGTCAGGGGCTTGCTGACATGACAGGGACCCCATCAGGATCACTGGGCCCTTGGGGTCCTCGCCGTGCAAGCCGGTCCAGGGCTTCCTGCACAGTAGCGCGTCTCCAGTGAAGTGCCACATCACCCAGGTTCCCCCAGCCCGGTCCGCGTCTGCCCAGGAATCCTCTCGGTCTGGAGCAGAGCGGGGCAGCTGGCCCCATATTCTCAGCCTGGCCTGCACTCCGAACCACCTGGAGGTGGCCATGCATCAGGAGCCTCCCGCATCCCCAGGTGTCTCAGGTGTGCTCTGGGTTCCACTGCCCCCCTGCACCATGTCCAGGCAGGGAGCCTGGACTCAGCCCCTTGGCCTGCCTGCGGGCCACTCAGGCCCCACGAGCTGCGTGTGTAGACCAGGGTGGAGATGAACCGAGGCTCCAGTCAGAACAAGCTAATGACATCCGCTCGTTTCAGCTGAGAAGCCCTTTTGATGTCCTCCTGTCCCTAGGGGCTGTCTGGTCTTTGTGTCTCTCCCCCAACTTCTGTCCACTTAGGCGGGGGCAGGGGAGCTGCAGACAGACTGCTTTACAAATCCAGTGAGCCTGGCTGGCCTGTCTCCTCCCAAAGTGCACGTCACAGAGCCTCACCTTCCACTTCTGGGCTTTGGGACCCATGGGCCCCAGTCAAGAACCCCTGCTTATATACATAGCAAAGTATGGGCCAAAGCCTGGCGCTGTTAATCCGGAAGAATCAGCATGGGGACATTTCTGTTGGGTCATTGGGAAGGTGGTGACACTCTGCGCAGGAAAACACACCATGACTTTCCCAACGCCCTAATAGTTCGCACCCTCCAGGGGTGAGCCACAGCTCTCCATTTTCAGAGAGCTGGCGTCAGGGCTGTCCCTCAGGGGAGCCCGGCCCCACACCACTGCCTCTGTGGACGCAGACGCCGAGAGCATGGCTGGAAAGCAGCTGGTGGGGCTTTGTCCACTCTCCCTTCTCGACACTGCTCACCCATGGTGCCTGGATGGCGTGTTTTCTGAGTTTCATGTTAAAACAGTGGCCCTAGAGGGACCAGCAGTTAGCGTAATGGCTATGTCACTGGACTCCCACGTAGTCGACTGTGGTTCGCGTCCCGGACCCGGTGGCTTAAAACTCATGCCGGGCGCATGTGCGTGCGTGCCCAAGATCCCAAGAGGAGAATGGAGGAGAAGGGATTGCAGCATGATCATCCCCTCTGGGGGGTGATTTCTCGCTTTCTGTCTCTCTGTCTCTCTGTCGCGTGCATGTGTGCTATAGCAAAGAAAAAAAAAATCCTCTCCAAAAAAAAAAAAAAAGGAAAACAGTGACCCTAGAACCGAACACAAAGATGCAGACAGAGTGGGGCCAGTGCAAGGGCACCACCATGCCAGGCCTGGCCACGCCAGGGTCTCCGGCCGTTCTGATTAGGCTGGGTGCAGTGGCATCTGCCTGTGCTCTCAGCTGACGTGGAGGCTGGGCGAGGCTTGCTTCCACACAGTGAGCCCCTTTCCAGAAAAGCAAGGGCCAGGCGGTAAGTACAGCCGGCCTCCCTGTAGATGGAGCCTCCCTGTAGACAACGCCCGCTGGGCATGCGTGTGCCTGCACTACCGCCAGCTGAGGCTGGGGTGGTCCTGGTGTGGGCGCCTGGTCGAGGAGCCCCCATTTGTGCTTTCTCATAGAAGCAAGAAACAAACTTTGAGAACCATGCCCCTTGGGCACACGTGCAGATCCAGTCCCCCCATTTGGGGGCTTTGGTGGCAAACGCCCTCGTGCCATGTCTTGGGACCCGCAGAGCCGCTCTTGAGCTCATCAGAGAGACCGTGGGCAGTGCCGACCTGCAGCCACCTGGGATATCGGCTGCTCACAAAGCCATCCTGGGGTCCTGCCCTCCCCCAGGGCACTAGCTCAGGCTCCTGGGGGCCAAGGTGGGCCCAGAGAGTGGTGGGCCTGCCACAGGGAGTTCACATGGGGCAGGAAGCCACCATTGCACACGCCATCACTGAAACGTGAGGTGGCCATTGGCACCCGGGGGTCCCTGCAGGGCCGAGGGGTTCCACCAAGAGGTGCCTGGTTGGCTAAGGGCCCTGCCTCCCCCTGCTTCTCTCTGCATCCTCTCGGCCAGCCCGGGCAGATGCTCTCAGGGTGGAGATAAGGGCCAGGCAGCAGTGCCCCCGTGATCCTACTGCGTGCTGGCTCAGGACAACACGGAGGAAGACAGTCAGCCTGGATCATGTCACAGACTTGGGCATGTTTGGGAGCGCTGCGAGAGAGGATGGGGCTCAGGCAGCATGGTGTGGTGGATTAACTGCTCCTGTCTGCAGGTGCATCCCGCCTTGCCTCCCTCAGCTGTCCCCTCAGGGAGCTCCAGGCTCCATCTCAAGACAGAGCCGGGAGGCAGCCTGGGCGCTGTCGGAGCCTTCCAGCCTGTTGTGTGTCAGCCAGGAGAGGAGGTAGAGGAGAAAGGATTGTGGCATGGCCATCCCCAGGGGTGATTTCTCGCTCCCACTCTCTCTCTCTTTGAGGAAACCACATGTGGTTAAAATTAAATTTTTTTAATTTAAAAATTAGGTATAATTTGGGACCAACAGTTAGCATAATGGGTATATAGCTGGACTCCCATGTAGTCGACCACAGTTCGAGTCCCGGACCTAGTGGCTTAAACTCACGCCGGGCACATGTGCGTGTGTGCCCAAGATCCTGAGAGGAGAATAGAAGAGAAGGGATTGTGGTGTGGCAATCCCCCAGGGGGTGATTTCTCTCTTTCTGTCTCTCTGTGTGTCTCTGGCGAGTGCACCCACCCTATAGCAAAAACCTCTCCAAAAAAAATATTAGGTATAATTTGAATGAAAAAGAAAATGTCCTTGGGTAGCAAGAGTGGACTGAGGTGTAATAGCTAATATTCCCCCCACCACACATGCTGTAGCCAGAGACCCCAGTCCCCACAGCGGCAGAGCTCAGCCGGGCTGCTCCCAGCCGCACTCATTCCCT